TTCCTTAAGTATTAATGCACCTGTGAGACTACCAATCTCATCAACTATCCTTTCTCATTTCTTTTCTCTTCTAGGTATGCTATTTCCATCTTTTTTATGCATCTGATTGTCAGTGTCAACAGCATTCTCATTCTCAATCAAGGTGAGCTAGGTGACATCTTTCCTCATCTATTTAAGTTTTGATATCTTGTTTATTTTACAATCTTGAATGCCTAGGACTCTATGCTATCTCATCCATTATTCTCATGAGGAAGTTCAAAGTGTTTACTTTGTAATATGACTTCATGTTTTCCTAGAAGAGTCAGCTATTTTATCTGGCACTGTGGACTGAGGAAGAGCAAAGCCTGCCCATTACCTGTTTCAAGGTGAGTTTTAAGGAACAGGTTTGGGGGTGAATTCCTGGGTTGAGATCTTACAGGACGCAGTGACTATACGAGCTCACTCCCATTTGCTGACTGTCTAGCACCAACTAGCTCTCCCAGGAGGAAACACACTGATAAACTCCCAAGTGTGAAGCAGTCCCAGAGCTGGGGAGATGGCTTGGCAGCTAAAGTGCTTTCCACAAAAGCAAGAAGACAGAGTGGAGATTTGGGCAGGACACATAATTGCTGTGAGCCCTGGGTTTGATTGATAACTACTTTATAAGGATAAAAGTATCTCATTTAAAAAAATAAAAGGTAAATGCATGAGTAGACATTTTTATGTTTGCTACATAATAGGATAGTGGAACAGTACACACAAAATTCTACGTTTCAATTTGCTTAAAGGAACATAGGAGAGAGAATGTCAGATTTTTTTTTTTTTTAGTATCATCTTCTACAGGGAAAGACTTATATACCATTATATCTTTTTTCCCAAGTCTACAGTTATTTATTGCATGAGACAGAATACATTTTAGAAGCTGAGATTCAGTACCACAGCTAATTAAAACACAGTTCACATGCATACACATGGCGGAGGAGGGGTATGCACATACAAATAAAATAATAAAATATGATATCATTCCCAAATAAACTACAGTTCATCAAGTCACTTTCACAAGTGTAGTGCAATATCTGAGGCTATTGGTGTATCTTCTATGAGGCTATAAATGATTCTGATATTGGTCACATTTAGTAGAGAAGACACATGGAGAAAGAAATGTTTTTAAATTAATAAAAGGATAAATTGTTGCTGTGAAAACTCTGCTGTGCGATTTTAATTTTCCTCCTCTGTATAGGTCTGGAAATATCACCTACATCAGAAGATTGAAGGCCTATTTCTTTTGATTTTATGAGAAGAAAGACCTGATATCTTGAAGTTAAAAATAGAGTGTAGTTGTAAAATAAGGTGGGCCAGAAGATGGCGCTCTAGTAGCACATTTTGTGTCTGTGTCTTTACTCTTCTGTAAGCAACTGAGGTAGTGGTGAGTTGTTTTCCTGTTTCCTAGACTTAACTACAATAAAATCGTTTTGACAGATTGTATGATGCAGTTCTTGTTTTGTTTGGGTTGGCTGCTTGGCTAAGTAGCATTCCTACCACCTCAGTGTCCCGCCATTAATTCTTACTTTTTTGTTTGCCGTAGATAAGTCTTCCTAATGTAATATGTACTCACTCACAAGTAGATATTAGACATAAGGTAAAGGACAATCAGCCTGCAATCCACATCCCCAGAGAACCTAGATAACAAAGAGGACCCTAAGAGAGACAGACATGGATCTGCCTAGGAAGGGGGAAAAGACAAGATCTCCTGAGTAAGTTGGGAGCATGGAAACTATTGAGGGTGACTGGAAAGGGGAAGTGAAGGAGGGAAGGGGGATGGGGGAAATGTATAGCTCAATAAAAACATAAAATAAAATAGAAAAAAGGAATAGTATGTCAATTAAAAAAATTCTTTTTTATTTTTAATGTGACATTAAATGGTAATATTCTTTGCTTTTTTTTTCTAAGGCAGACCTATTTCTGAGTTGTAGTTTTGTACTTCAGCCTTGCCTGTGGTATGGTGCTGTGTTACTACGTCTTGAGGAGTTTTATTTTCTCTGGTACAGGTGGTTACCAGAAGAAGGCATGCCAACATATATCCCTCAAGGCGTCTACTGCTTTAGATGGTAGTAACCCAAGACACCATTAACTCCTTTGAAGGTCTTGAGAGTAGAAACCTGGTTTTGAACACAGCTCTATACACAACATCTGGAATACCCCATACCTATTTGGAGGTTATCAACACAAAAATGCAGCTATCACTTCACAGGGAGTAAGATATAGTGTATTCTGGACTAAATGTGAGTGTTCATGCAGTGGGAATGTATATTCAAGTTATGCTAAGAAGCCAGGTTCTAATGTGATAGCAGATTTGTTGAATTTTTTACAGTTATAGAACCAAAGAAATTTACAAATTAAGGAAATAAAAATATATTGGTGAGACTATGAGGTAGCTAGTTACCCCAGAGCAGGGAAGACTCTGTGGTAGGTCTTGGAGGCTATCTGATGACATTCTTAGCTTTTGGGTTCATGGAAGCTAGTGGTCTATTAGCACATTCTGAAAAAATTAACTAACAGTCACAAGGATTTAGTTCATATACAGAGGTGGGCAATGAATGGTTCTCCAAAAGAGGCTAAAGATAAACTCAGATAACTGGACCTGCAACATTCTAACTCTCTGCACTCAGACTCTATAATAAGTTAAGCAGACTTTTAGAATCTTTAACAAGGATGTGACATTTTCATTTATGGAAAATTCATAGGTTCAAGAAATTTGTTAGATAATGAATAAGTGATCATATAGGTGCTTCTTAGGATAATAGAGTTAAATTGTATTCATTAGACTTTTCTGTGGTGACAAGCATGTTCTATATCTATGTGGCCAGAGTAGTTAGTTATTAGTCACATGTGGCTATTTTCTTTTTGCTTATAACATGATTAGTCCAAATGAGGAAATTACTTAAATCTGGTTAGTGGCTACCACATTAAACAGAATATCTTTTAGGGCTTAGTGATGCTTTGTTAGTTTCTCTACTCTGCAGTTATAGTAGGTGACAGGCTGAACCATTCTGCTTCAGCTGAATTTATAAATGCTATTTTAAGTGATACTTAATGCATTTGATCCAAAAATCACTCTTGCGGCAGCTAATTATGACTCAGGAATCTGAAAGATAATTCCACTGTACCTGCATCAGTACCTCGATGTTTTCTGTGTTTCTATGGAATGTTTGCAAATGGATCTTCTTTTAATTTCTTCCAAACAATTTTAGTTTCTGAAAGCTCTGCATTTGGCTAGGATTGTGTATATGTGGTGGGTTCATAGACACTTGTAGAATTTAAACGTGCTGGCATTATTAAAGATAAGATTTAAAAAATATTTCCAAATGCGGGCAAGGAGAACTTGAGTACATGAATTTTTGCAATGAGTTTTTCACTCATTATTTCAATGTAGCTGCTCTTAAGTGAAGGCGATCTTGCTCCACTGGGAACATGTTGTGACTGTAGCTCATTTTGAATTTTACAACTTGGTAGAACAGCTGCTGAGGAGGGATGGTGGTGGAAGTGCTGTGTCATACAGGCATCTCATATGTAGAAGTAAGGAACGTTGCCAAGTGGTCTACAATGCCCATGATGATTTACCCCCTTTCCCAAACAAAGACGTATCTATGACAAAATGTCAGCAACATGAAAGTTGAGTGATCACTCAGTGACAACTCAGAGAGGAAAATTTGGTTTATTATCATAAATACCTTTCAATATATACAGTGTAGTATGTCAGGCAAGACTCCATACAAAACCCCAATGAAAACCTTAACACAGCAGTTAACTCATCAGTTATAAAAAGAACATAAAGATGCACAGAGTAATTCTGGGTTTGCTTAGATATGACTCTGTACTCACAGGTAAGACTACAAAATGTGCAACTAAATACATATGAAAATGCCAATTATGTCATGTAAACAGAGGTATTTTAAAAATGCTTTCCTGATTATTTTGTATAAATATTTTATTGTAGAATATACATGCTATTTAACAATAAATTCAAATATTGCACAACAACATCCTTACTAACACTTTATATCAGATATTTTATAAATGTCTATTGGTACGTTAGCTTCACATGTCAGGTGTCCATATTTTCTTGGAATTAATTTATGCTGACTTCCCATCTCATAGGTAATTAGTTGTTCTAAATCTGGTTGAAAACAAAACTTTAAATAAAATGAATTAAGAGAATATGAGGTACAATTGAAAAATAAATTTATACTAGTACTGACACATCTCTCATTTTAAACATGGAACTGAGAGTAACCTTATTAGACTCTTGCCCATTTGCAGTTCATTAATGAAAGGGCCAAAAACCTCATTTTTATTTCCCAAGTGTTGAAAGGTCTTTATATGAATAAATTTCTTTAATTATTCTCCTATGTGATTCAAAAACTCATGTGCTGCTTCAAAATATGCAACAGCTAAATTGTCTAAGTAAAGTATGCACAAATATAAATACAAAATTTCAGAGAAAGATTAAATGAATATCTGAAGATGAAAAGGAATGGACCTGCTCATTGCTATCCTCTAAGTCCTAGTGAGCATCTAGTGCTTTCTCCATCATTTTGTCACCATCAGCTTAGACAAATTAACTTGGCTTGTCTAGTCAAATTGCCAATGAGGATTTTCTATGAAGAAGACAAAACCTATGTAGGCAGCAAAGAAGGGTCTGGAGAGAAGCAGAGGGTGACTGCTCAGTTAGTATTTATTCAACCTCCCAATTACTGTAAGTTGAAAAACTGTGAATTGGGAGAACAGAGGTGACCAAGGAGATAATCAGACATGTTGGTAGGTCTTTGTGGAGCAGACACCATCCTTTGTGTTCATGTGTGGTGGAAAAGAAGTCTGTCCCCTTCTACTTTAAGAAGGTCACTATACCATGATAATTTGCATCTTGAACTAGATGGCCATGTTCATGGCAGTGAACAATGGATACAATTTGCTAGAGGCCATGTGTGACACTCCAGTTTGTATAAGGGGTGGCTATTGCATTAGATGTTAGTTTTAGATTTAATCCAGTTCCGATAATGAGTCACTCTGGTGTAAATTCCGGGCTTGTTTTCTTTTCCACAGTCGATTCCCCAGCTAACAATTCCAAGAAGATACCAGATATTTCTATCATGTGAAATAACCAGGGGCCCTCCAGAATCACCCTAGAAAAGAGGAAAAGCATGTAATCAATGTGAGAAAAAAGGTCAAAAATGAGAGCTAATTGACTCCTGTCTATCTAATAAATCCATACCTGGAACTAACATGTTAACTCCTCCATGAAGCTTGTTTAACTCCATTATCTAGAAGTAATGCCTTGTTTTAAATTAGATTTTCACTTGCTCCACTCATACTAATCAGTTGAAGGGTGTTCTGGAGTTTTCTGTCAAATGTGCCGTATTTATTACTGAAAGGCTAAGGTGAGCACCCAGTACACACCTTTAGAGACATTAATCATGAAGATTTCTCAGTTATCTTTTACCTAAAGTTTCAACAAAAGATTTAAATTTTATCTTTAAATAATGACTTTATCCTTTCTGAAAATATAAAAGAAATGCCATGTGATAGTTTATTACAATTTCTTAGAACGAGGGAAATTGTAGAGTCTGGAGGAGGCAGGGGCTCCTGAAGCAACTTTGATGCTCCTTCCTTTCCACATTCTTCCTTCTCTTAGTCTCTCCCTGTGTCTGGTGCACAGTATGAACACCCCGGTCTACTGAAGGCAATCCTCAGCTCCTTTTACTCAGGCCTCCATTGTAATCTAGATCCTTGTGTTCTTACTGTATTAATGGTAAAAGGAAGTAAGGGAGTATGAGCCAATGACATGGGACTGCCAGCACCTGTGAAGATCATGTTTATTCTCTAAGTCATGTGATTGGATTGTATGTTGGATACACATCTTGCTTCTCCTTCTTGGGGCAATGGGAAAGATAGCTTGTATTCTAGAATATGTAGATAAACCCTGACTGTCTTCCTTTGTTTTAGCAACATGTGCCCTAATGAAATTGTAAATTCATTACATTTTTTAAAATTTTAGTTTCCTTCAGCAATGTTCATAGTAACTCGTGATTTACAAAAAGTTGAATAAATAAATGAATGCATATTTATTACCATTGTATGACAGCCAATGTCAGGTCAGCATATATACAGGCATACAACAAGTGTCAGACATGTGAAGTTATCAGAGCCAATATTAATTCTTCAAGGAATCATTAAGTTCTTGTGCACAGTCACAAATGCTATAGGTCACATCTTTAACTTGTTATTTTTAGTTCTTCAAATACCATATTTGGAACTGATAATGTGCTTAAATGCTTAGTGCTTAAAATTAATGTGTTGTAAGTATGGAGAAAATGCAATTTGTGTTATCTGAAAAATGATCTGTGATGTGCTACATTTATAGAAATGAGTGCAGGCAATTATTTTTCCCAGTAGTGTAATTCTATTTGGGCATAAGTTATTTAAGTACAAATGTCAGCAGATTTTGTCTTACTGTGGCTTAACTTAATGGGAACACAATATTCAAAGTTTTAGTTGACTGAGCCTTGATTCTTTGGCTTCATGCTTGTTTCCTACTATTTGAATTACTGATCTCTAATAAAAGTTCCGATCTGCAGCGAGAAACCTTGTTTAGATAGCTCTGTTCAATATGGTGTTTCATGAGGAGCTATATGTCTAGTTGTTCTTCAGTCCTTCTTCACATCTCCTCCTTCCTCCACAAGCTAATTTCACAGAACTGTGTTAAATGACATTACTCTGTGATGAATAATTTCATTCTTATTGACCAGAGTCTTTTTTGTGGATTAGAGTATACTTACCTCACAGGCATCTAGTTTCCCTGTCAAGAATCCAGCACATATCATTGCTGATGATACAGCACCACCATATACATTTACTTGGTTACATACATCATTGCTTATGATCTCTATTTCAACTTCTTGCAGAGAATTGGGGAAAGGACCTAAATATGAAACAATAAATAGATGAGGAATTGTTGGGAGCTTCGTTAGTATGACAGATCTGTGCTTAAACATCAGTCTTAAGGTTGCAGAATTTGGAACTGGATGACAGTGTTCAGGATCAGTTACACTTTGGGGTGACTTCTATGTGAAGATACCATATTTGGCACATTAACTGCTATCATTTACCTAGTCCTTGCAAAAACTATTAAGGATAAATATGAGTACTCTAGATTTGTAGTTGAGAAAATTGAAGTTCACCTGTTTAACAGTCATGCCATGATTACTCCAATTGAATGATCACATAAACAATGGCAGCTTAAACACAAGGTATTTTTTCACCACATGGAATCTACGCAAACTCCCACAGCATCACTTCACATTGGACATAGATATTTACATGTTATAAGTCATTTAGAAAGAATAGAATTACCAAGAATAACATTTTATTCTATGGGATCTAATTGCTTCATGAGAAGGATGATGTGTACAATGAAATTGGTGTGACTTGCTGTTCAAAACAAGTATCAGTACGAAGAGGAATATGGCACACCCATTATATTTTCTTCACTAACCACATTGGTTCATTTGCATTGATTGTAATACAAAAGTGCCATTTACTTGAATGCAATACCATTTTAAGCCATTATGTTTTCATGTCTCCATTTAATGACTTCCATTAAAAATGCCACTCATATGAAATTCTATTTCTTTTTATTAAAAGAATTGGCATATTCAAGAACTCAGGGACTTCAGGTCTTTGCATGTATGCTATGGCTGTTAGCTCGGTGTTTTGTGGGAATTGTAAAAATGGGAGCAGGTGTGTCTCTCTTTTGCTTGCTCTTAGGATTCATTCTTTTGCTTGCTCTTGGGACTCTTTCCCTCCTATCTGGTTGCCTTGTTCACCTGTTTGGTTGTTGTCTCTTAGAGGCCTGCTGTTTTCTGAAGACAAACAGAGAAATAGTGGATCTGGGGGGAAGGGAGTTGGGGATAGAGCTATGAGGAATGGAGGGAGGGAAAACTATGGTCAGGATTTATTGAATGAGCCAAGAATCCATTTTCAGAAAAAAAAAAGAGGAGAAGGAAAAATAAGAGGAAGAGGAGAAAGCCATGACTCATGTCTACATCTTAAAGTCTGTACTTGCTGTTTATTGGGCATTATTTAGTGAAGCAAAACGTCATATGTCTCAACTTGATATTGTACCAACTTCAGAGATACACAGCTCAGAGGCTCCCATTTAGTATTTAATGTTAGGCAGGCACAGCTATTTGGATTCCTTGGCCGAGGCCTTTTCATTTTAGCAGTTTGACCCTCCAGGATCTCATCATGACTAACTGACTCCCTACATATGAAAGATGGGGGCTGAAAGAAGGATATGTGAAAGAATATGCTCTGATAAGCTCTGAAGAGAAAGTTCTAATAGTATGAAAATAGTCTATAAAACAACTATCTGTACATTACTACATTAACCACTATATTAAATATATGAATACTGTTTATTGCCAAAATTTTCATATTTTTCTCTGTTTTTTTTTGCAGATTTTTAAAATTTGAATTAGCAACAAAATTGTTTTACATGTCAATCCCAGTTCCCTCTCCCTCTCCTCTTCCCCTACCAACTCCCCCAACTAAAACCCTACCTATCACATATCCTTTCTGTTCCCTAGGGAGGGTGAGACCTTCCATAGGGGGTCATCAGAGTCTATCATATCCTTTGGGCTAGGGCCTAGGCCCACCCCCGTGTGTCTAGGCTCAGGGACTATTCCTCTATATGGAAAACCTATGCTAGGGATAAGTACTGAACTACTACAGGAGGTCCCATAGATTTCCGTAGTTTCTTCACTAAAACCCACGTTTCTGGTGTCTGGATCAGTACCACGCTGGTATCCTTTACACAATGGAGTACTACTCAGCAGAAAAAAAAACAATGGAATCTTGAAATTTGCAGGCAAATGGATGGAACTAGAAGAAACCATTCTGAGCAAGGTAACCTAGTCACAAAAAGACAAACATGCTATGTACTCACTCATATGTGGATTTTAGACATAAAAAAGGATTAACAGCCTACAATCCACATTGCCAGAGAAGCTAGTAAACAACGAGGACCCTAAGAGAGACATACATGGTCCCCTGGAAAAGGGGAAACAGATAAGATCTCCTGAGCAAATTGGGAGGAGAGAGAGAGAGCTAGGTGAATGAGAAGGGGAGAAGAGGAGGGGTGAGGAGGACACGAGGGAGTAGAAAGGTTGAGTCGGGGGAAGAATAGAAGAAAACAAGAAAGGAGATACCATAACAGAGGGAGACATTTTAGGTTTACAGAGAAATCAGGCACTAGGGAAATGTCTGGAGATCTACAAAGATGACACCAGCTAACAATCTAAGCAACAGAGGAGAGACTACCTTAAATGCACTCCCCTGATAATGAGATTGATGACTAATTTATATGCCATCCTATAGCCTTCATCCAGCAGCTGGTGGAAGTAGAAGCAGACACACATAACTAATCACTGAACTGAACTGGAATCCAGTTGCAGAGAAGGACGAGTGATGAGCAAAGGATTCCAGACCAGGCTGGTGAAACCCACAGAAACAGCTGAGCTGAACAATGGGAAATTTTCATATTTTATGTGATTTTCATGGGAATATCTTGATTTATCCTTTGTACTTTTGTATGTGTTTGAACATTTCCATGCAAAAGCAGCTTAGTTTTGCATTGTTGACATCCTTGTTTTTCCTGAGATACTCACCATTTGCTTTCAAGGCTCCCCATCCAGTGACAAACACTTTACTCTTCGGCAAGACTTGAAAGGTAGCATCAGGGAGACAGACTCTGCGCAGGTTTTCAGAAAACAGGATGGGGCTGGAGAGCTTGACCACAGCAATATCATCATCGTGCTTGTGGGATGCATAGTTCTCATGAATGATAATGGACGCGATCTTTCTTGTCATCAGTGGATGGCTTAGGGTTGTTCCAAAACTGACTGTCCACAGTTTGGGGTTTTTGTAACTGAAAGCAAATTAAAGGATCACAGTGGGTTCCTTTCTCGTCTAGAGTTGCCCAGGATTCTGGATATTGAATAGGAATCTCTTTTCTTGCTCTGCTATATTCTACCACTGATTCCTTCTTTCTGGGCAATAGGACATAAACAAGGGCAAAAGGGCAAATTCTTTAAGGTCATTGTTGATTTGGACTTTCCCAATATCTTGTTTTATGCTTTCTAGGTGATAAGAAACATTCCATTACAAAGTAGGTTTAGTTACTCTCTTTTAGGATGAGTATGCATTTTATTATAAAAATATATTATTTGAAGAAAATAAAAATGTTAGTTATAATTATCTACATATATTTCTGTAAATACTCATACATATCCAAAACCAAGAATAGTTATATATTTTTATTCACAGGTATACAGAAAAGACATAGACAAAAAAGAGACAAAATACACAGAGACACAGAAAAGATAAATCTGAAGCCATATTCTATATGTTTTTCTAATGATTCTCTTCCATTGGGCATTTTACCCAGAATATTTCTCCATTTTATTTGACTTACAGTAAGGTTATCATATCTCCTTTTTTTTCCTCCAATAGTGCCAAATGTCAAATCTTTAACAGTCATGCAGAGAATAAAAACATATAGCCAATGATATTCATATAGAATATCAGTTGTGAATTTCAGATTGGGATATAATTAATGGCATTAAACAAAAACTGCAATATAATTGAGGAAAACTGGTGAGTATATTTGGTTTTTCACTGTTAATTTGTTTCTGGGTAAAACTGGGATTACTACAAAAATATATATTCAGTAGGAATTGAAAGCAATCTATTCTTTGCCTTATTGATATTCTTTTCTACTCCTGTCAAGAAAGGGCTAAGACATTCATGGAAAGAATGAAGAGGAGGTAAGAATGATGGGATATGAATGTGAGAAGCGGTGGTACTGGGAACCTCAAGGGCGCAACCTGAGGACTCACGTATCAAAGCAGTGAGCAGAGGTCAGAAGCCACTGGGAGCCAATCAGGGATGCACCACAGAGGTGGATTCCGTCCACTTGAAGGCTGCTTTGCCATGGCCAGGAAGCTTTTTCTGCAGGTTTGCCATCAGCAATTCTTGCTGTGGGTGGGTACTCCATCCCCAAGCCACAATCTGCCAGCCAGAAGGAAATAACATGGTTATTTGTAGAGTTATAAATGTGTCTGGATATCTTCAGAATATAGGTAAGCATAAAAACATTTCAGGATATTTCTTGCCTTTAAAATCTTCATTGAAATCAACAGTAAATGTTAGGAGGATGATAGATATTCAAGTTGATTGAGTATGCATATTTTGTAATTAAATTGTTAGTAATTAAAAGTTAGCAATCATCTTCTTTAGTGTATTTGAAGCAATTTTCCTTTGATATTAGTTTTTCATATTTCCTGAGTCCTGTTGTGTATAACAAGTTACTCCAGTGATATTTGACAATCATTACAGATAATTTTTATCCATAATATTTCAAAAATAATTAAATAAATATCATTTTACATGTTATAGCTAGTGGGTTTCATTTAAATCTATTGAAAATTTTATATTTTAACAAAGTAAGCCAAATAAAAATAAATTGGAAAAATTCAAGGAAAGAGAAAATATTGCAATAGAATTAATAAATCTATTCTATTAGCAATTTTCTCATTGATTAAAGGCAAGCCACATATGGATCTAGAATACTGTAGGTATTTGAGAAAAGGGATACATGAAGATAGAGAAAGGCCAAAGTGTTGTGAGTTTGATTCTTTGACTGAATAACTTATCAATGATATTCTTGGACTCACCACTGTTTAGAATATTCTCTGCTTGTGCAGCATTAATTTCTGGAAAAAAATTAAATCAAGGTCATTCCTCAGTGACATACCTGCTATAATATAAAATACAATGTCTACTTGGCATGAAATCCTCAGATTGGGGAAAACTGTACAAATGAGGAAAAGAACTAGAATAAACTATGAAAAAGGATGCTGGAATATCAGACTCTGATTGCACATAGATTCCAGGAAGATCCTGGCATGACTACAAAGTCATTGGCATAGACAAGCATTATTTGTCTGAAGGATAAATGTCATGAGGCAGATGTTAAATAAAAGGTGTGCAGGGCCATTTTTACAAATTCCCTACAGCAAGTGTAGAAGTCTTTCTGGCCTCACTTGCATGGTGGCATGTAGGATAGCCATTCAAACCATTTTCAAAGTCTGGCATCTAGGTTTGGACCATAGATATTTTTTCCTATTGTATCAAACTCTACCAACATCCAGTATATTATCATTTTTATTCATAAACCAAGATAGAAAATGGTACAATATGTGGCTGTCTTCCCAAATCACTTCTACTGTTTTTTTTTTTTTTTTATGCCAGCATGCGTAGTGAGATTCAGAGTCAAGTATATTCAGATAAAAACTGGTTAGCATTTCAGTGTTGGGTCTTTAGGTCAGACTCAAGAACACTGATTTGGAATCACTGTTAGGAAGTTAATTCTAGAAAATCCAAAGGATTAGGTTCTGTCAATGATAAAAGCCCTCTTTTGTCTTCCCAAAACTTTACAATAAAAGTAGACTTCCTCACAGGCCCTAGGTGCCCTGGACCCTACTATGTCCTCACTGTAACACTGAACATTCCTCTTCCCTACTACCTTGGCCTCCAAGGTCTTGACTGTTGGGATGTTGCTTCTGTTGGCAATCTTCGACCAGCTAGATGTACTTTGTCAGAATGCTTTGCCTGCAGGGTTTCCTGTCTTTCAGACCTCAACTTAAAAGGTTTCTTTCTTCTTTCATAGTGCTTTCTATGACAAAGAAAGCTGAAGACCCATGCTGTGCTCTGCTCTCTCACGGAATTCCATATTATTTGTTGCTGCCCAGTTTATTCACCATCTTTCTCCTTTTAGTTAGAATATTGGTTCTACATGTACACAGATTTAGGTTCCTGGATGAAATAACTTTCAATACATAGACTAGATGAATAGCAATTATGACCAATATTCTACTGAGTTCTATAAGATATGTACTGTAACCAACACCTATTTGCTTATTATATCTTTGTAGTGTTACTATGATACAAGTCTACAGAAGCACAATTTAAGATGTGTTGAAGCAACAATATCAAGGTCAGTTAGTCCTATACCTGAAAGGCAACTGTACTTTAGTCCTACATTCTATTAGGCCATAAATCATGGGGAGTGGGCTATGGCTAATTCATAGCTTATTTATGACTTTATCTTAAACTGAACTGTATTTAGGAAAAAATGATCTACTTCTATGATGGAGTTGAATCTCATACAGAGGCATGATCCAGTAGATGTGTTCTTCTTGCCTGATAAAAGTGTTGCAAAACCAGGTCTGGATCAAGATTTAGCATACTTACTTTCCACATTTCTTCTATAAATGTGCTTGCATCCCATACTGTATTTGTGGATTCTGTATCAGTGGATTCAACTAACTCCCAGTCAGAAATATTTGAAAAATGCTGAATCTGACATGTATTTTCCCACCATATTCCATAAACAATATAGTATACCAAATACTTATGTGTAATTTATGCTCTATTAGGTATTGCAAGTTTATTTATATATATGGAGGGGGGACTAGGAGAGTTGGTAAGCATTTCACCTAGCATTCCCAAGGTCTTTGGTTTGAGTTCAGGTACAATAAAGTGTGCGCACACAGGCACGCACGCACACACACACACACACACAAAGTGCATGAGGAGACCTGCCTACACTGTATGGTGATACTGTGACATTTTATATAAGTGGCTTGATATCACAATTATTTATTACAATAAAAGAACTCTAGAAGTTATAAAGAAGATAATGGTGAAAGACTTCAGAATTTGAGGAAGGATAAATGCTGGGCTTTATGATTGTTCTTTTCATTTTACTTAGGACTTGAACTAGGGGCCAGAAAGGTTTGCCAATATATGGCCATCAACAACTTCAGAGAAAACAATCTCAGGAAATGTCTGTTCTCCCTATACAAAGTACTAGGAGAGGGGAAGGAAAATAGAGATCTATCCAGACCTCTACTGAAAATTCAAGCATGGAAGTCCAATTCTTGAGACAGCAAAAATCCCTTGACTATCCCCATTCCTATGTTGTAACCAAAGCACTGATGGACAAACTAAATCATCCATGGAGACATCTACAGATACCTGTCTCTACTCACTGGCATAAGGAGATCCAGATCCACTGGCAGATATGTGACAATACAGAACATTCCAGGGAAGTACATTCTGAAGCTATGAATAGCAGGCAGCAAAACAGAAGAGTGCTGCAAAATCTGCAAAACTGAACTGCCATTGAAATAACAAAAGTAGATAAGAATCTGGAGTACCAGGGTAGGCAAATTGAGTATGTGCTAAATGGGAAAAATATTTATTTGGGATCAAAATTCTCCTAGCATAGAGTGTTGAGAATATACAAACTCTCACAGGAAACAGAACAAAAGAAAATAGGAAATTTGCAATTTGAATCAGAACACAACCAACCAATGCAAATTTTGAAAGATCTATAATGCTAGAAATAATAGAACTATATTTTGAAGAGCTGGCTGCTACAATCAAGGATAAATTCTCTTATAATAAGTGAAAAATAGGAAATATTAACAAAGCAGTAGAAATAATTTAAAAAATCATTGAAAATGATAGGAATAAGCAAAAATAGCCAAGATATAAGACCAATAATAGCAATAAGAACAGACCAACTGGCTTGATGATATCCTTAGTACAGATGGATGATGGAACAGCATCAGTGAACTTGAGGACAATAGCAGAATTTTTCATCTTAAAGAGCAGAGTAAAACACCCCGAATGAGCAGCCTATGCTGTCTATGGGATATTTTACAGAACACAGATACTTATAGTTATCTAGAATTGAGGAAAGTAAGTATGTGTCTAAAAAGAGAGTTTGAAAAGCAATGGTTGAAAATTCTGCACATTTATTAAAGACAGAGATATATAAGTTCAAATAATGAAAAAGCTCCAAATAGTATACAGTTACGAAAGTCATTATGATGTAATCACAAAGAAAATATATATTAAAGGGAAAAATGAATCTAAAGTTGACTTTTCAAAGACCCCTTTTCTATATTTCCCACTTTCAAAGGACTGAATTAGCTAACAGCGTTAAAGGGCAAACATTTGCCAGAGACCCCGGTTCCCTCCAAGTGCTGAATTCAGTGTTGCTGTGCACTACTGAGCAGAGCAAACATTTCCTGTACCCAAGGAAGCATAGTCTGTTGTAAAAGAAAATGAAGCAAGGAAGACAAAATCCAAAGTAATTCCTGAACAAATTTATGGAGCACAGAAATATATCAGGAAGGATTATTACCACTTCTTTGAAAAGAATGAGAAATGTCTATGAAATGACTTGCTTAGTCACACAGCTGAAGTTACAATAGGTGAGAGATTAGCTAATGTCTATATGGATAAAAAATTACTGAGGTCTAGACACAGTCTTGTGAAGGACATCAATACCCATAAAATATAGGGAAGTGGATGTGAGTGTTATTAATATAGGGAGGTGGGTGTGGTGGGATTAATATAGGGTGTGGGTAGGATTACTATAGAAATGAGGAAGTTGAGTTTCCAATATTTTTCTTCTTAGGGGTTCAAAATAAACTTCTAAATTTCTAAAAGTAGCAATCTGAGAGATAGCTCAGTTGGAAAAGTATTTACTACATGAGCATGCGTACTGGAAGTTGGATTCCCAGCACCTATGTGAAAGTCCAGGCAGGATGGACTGCTCTTGTAACCCAACTCCAGAGTTGGGGAAGCAGAGACTGGGCTTGCTGGCCAACTGGTCTACCTGTCAGTGAGCTCCAGATTCAGTGAGAGAACCCAACTCAAAAAACAAGGTAAAGTGTAATTGAGTGAGGAAGAGTTATGATTTATGTCTGTACTCTACAGCCAGCATAGAAGCACAGGTATATGTACCCTTCTCTTCCACAACCCCGCCCTTCAAGCACACATACAAACACCTGAGCACACATGCACATAAACAGAGATTTCTAAAATTAAAATTATATCTCATATATACTGTGAGCCCTCAAACTAAAGTTCTCATTCAGTGAGTCTTAATTCTGCCCTGTGAAGTTCAATTCTTGCATTCAGAGTCCACTCTGTCTGCTAGGATCCCATTTTCATTTGAAGCTATGTTTTCTCTTTATGGCTTTGGCAAATGCTGTATTAAAACTTTCGTTTTGATATGTCATAAATTATCACAAATATTTTGGGGAAAAAGTGATGAGAGAAGATATACTGGTAACTTGTAATTTGCTGTTACCTTTCCAATCTCATTTTGTATCTTAAACAATTCTGATATTATATGACAATTTCTAAATTGATTTAAAGGTTAACAGCTGAGAATTATAAAGACCTTTTAAAAATCTCATATACCAAATATTTATCAGCTATGACTTTATGTCTGTGTTGAAAGTGAGGTAGTTTTATTTTATTTTATGGCTGAGATACATCCTAGCTGGGGTTGACATTTTTCTTCAGCTCACTCTATGTCTCAGGCCAAGCCTATCCTGTGTGCTGCAGAAAATTCTTGTTAATCTAAAGTGAGCTCTATTTGAGCTCACCCATGTTTGTGCCCCTTATATTATTTTTTGTGTGTTCATAACACTGTCATATTCCAGATTCAGATAGGGAAACACTGTCAAAAAAGAGATTTAGAGATTAGTGTATCAATAGTGAAGGGCAGCTTGTTTTGAAATGCCACGCACATTGTTACTTAATTTAAAAGATGTCACTTAGGTTTGTTTTAATAAGAGAAAAATATTTTTGTATTTGGGTAATTATACAGTTCTTATAGCTATTTTCATTCCAACCAAGGAAAGATAATCTTTGGTGCCAAATGAGTGAGAAGTTGTTCATTAGGGACTTAGAGACCTAGAGTACAAATGGTTTTGTTTTAAAATGAAGTAAAGGAGCTTTCTCTGTAGACAGAAGATAGTTAAAAGTGTTAACTATTGTGAAAAGAAAAAAAGTAGTCTTTCTTGCCTCTAAGATGAGGTAATGAAATGTCTCTCTTCAAGGAGCTCTGGGTGGATTGCAACTTCTTGTACAAAATGCTATCAGCTTGTTTTTTCAGAGTTCCCACATTGTTATGGGGAAACTGAAATTTAATCAGTATGTCTGCTTTCAAACCATCATTACTTGGCCTGAAAAAGAAAGGTATCAAAGTGAGGTAATGGCCTAGTAATTATTCTTAATACTATAGTATTAGTACTTCAATATTGCTTCTATCTTTAAGAAAATAAAACAAATATTTCATACAACTTATTGTCATGATTATCTCCTTCATACATCACACAGATATTAAGCTTCGGATTACCCTCTGCTCATAAAACTTGATAATAATCATAGTGGAAAATGGAAAATTATAAACCCAACTTTCTATTTATATCACATATAAATATACTTTGTACTTATATCATGTATAAATACATATATATGTATATATAATATACATTCCTGTGTTTTAAATACTAGCAGATATTTACTATAAAACAAATGAAATCAACAGAAGTAACTAGGATTGAAGGAATCTTCAATTGAAATGCCTTTGTCTTTAAAAGGATAAAGAATAGACAATATTTCATGATTGCTCAAGATATCCTCTTACTATACTCTGTGTAGGAACAATTGCAATGTGAGAAGACTGTGCTAACTTTTCTTTGTTATATTTAAAGTCTTTACCTCCTGTCTGCAGCTGAAATGGGTTAATAATAACTAAACAGTACAACTTGCCTTTTCCTCATGTGAATGAATTAACTGTGGTTACCTGAAGTTGACAACATGAGATTTGACATAATGATACTTTAAACTGGATCTTTGAAATATCATATCTATCTAAAAAAGAAAATAAGAGAACTTTGTTAAGGATTAGTTGTATACCTTTCAAAATGTTTATTTAAAACCCATTATGATACAAAATGCCATTTACCTTAATGCTTGTTTATAGTTATCTCAAAGAAGTTCATTTGAGCATAATCCTGTTGTCATATAATCATTCCTATAATTTGAAAAACTTTCCATGTGTTTGAAGGTGATCAGCACAGAGTTGAATTAAGGTAGACATTTCAAAGCAGGAGTTAGAGCCTAGAGACTGTGTAGGGTTGCCATGCATGGACTCATCATTCACTTGACATCCAATATCCTGAAACTCAGTTATGTTAGTCTCTGAGTATGATGGACAGGTCAGTTTTTAAGTTTTGGTAAAACAGTTTTAAATGAAGTTTTAATCCTTCAGAGAATGTAGTTGGAAGGGTGATGCATGCACAGGTAGGCACTTCTCCAAACTTGATTACTTATGTATAAAATATTTCCATAGAATAAAAAATGTCTATGAAAGCCACAATGTGTCATTTTGGCTTTATTATATGGAATACTTTGTTGGTGGTAAAAGATCTTAGATCAGCTTATTTCTCAACAAAGCGGGAGCAATGACAACAGGATGACAATTCTTTCAAGCCCATTTATTATTATGACTCATCAAGCTGGCTTGGTCAAGGTAACCTTGACGAAACTGAATCTGAGCAGGTAGTTGCACAAATTTCAGTAGTGCTGCCAAATAGTGAAATGAGCTGTGTAAGAGTAGTGCTATTTACTCATCTCATTTAATTTTTGATGTCCTCTTCAATGAAGTGGCACGTGATGTTATGTTCGACAGACTGGGGAGATGCATGTCAGGAGATCAATAGCTGTTAGTAAAACAATGGCCACATTCTTCTTTTTAACTTATTTAGAAGAATTTTATGGAAACAGTTTTATTTATACATGTATAATTTATAAGATAAACTAATGTATATGTACATATATATATACATATGCTTATAAAATTATTTAGAGAATCTACTATAAAGAGCATTGATATCACTTAAAGTTTTTATCTAAAGAACCTGGTATGCTTTGGGTATATGTGCATCCCTGTATACATACCAACTATTATCATTTATATATTATACAGGAAATATACAAAATTTGATTTAATTACTGATTTTCATATTTACTTTATGAAAATGCAACTAATACTGTGATTTAGTCAATAAAATTCATACCAGAGACCAATCTGACTCACACTGTATCTATCATTTATAAACTAAAAATATTCTCTACATTGTTTTTTGCTTGCGTGTGTGGTGTGTATAAGTATACACATGTTTAAAAGACCATATGTGTATGTAGATCTTATGTATGTATGTATGTATGTATGTATGTATGTATGTATGTATGTTGTGTGAAGCCAGAAATTGACATCAGGTGTCTTCTCTAAGTACCCTCCACCCTATATACTTCCAGGGTAGCAATGGTGCTGGTGGCAAAACATAGATTTACCTCATTGATGAGTTTTTGTTTCAGGCTTGTCTGATGTCTTGACTGTTCTATGGACAAATCTGGGCTATATGTAATGCTGGGAATCCGGAAGGAGCCCTGGTAGTAATGACTCTTCTGTTCTGAAAGGCAGAACAGAAATGGATCATTTCTGATGATCTCTTTGAGCAGATGAAGGAGAGTATGCACAATTTTTCTCCGACGAATTTTATGCTGGAAGTTCAATCCCCCAGATGATAGTACTAAACAACACAGATCCTCCAACAGGTGAGAATAGGAGGAGCTGATTGCTGTGATTTCCCAGAGATTAATATTTGTTTTACAGAGTGGGTTAGTCCTCACAGGCAATTAATTCTTAGGAAATTCATGCTCTTCCTTGTCTCTCGTGTCCTGTATTTCTGTGTGATCTCTTTCTCAGGCACTACTAATAGTCCTGACATGCACTCCTCCCATAATACTATCTTCCATGTTTGGATGGAGTTTGTTGCCGTCATCTAAACCAGCCCATATCACTGTCAGTTATATGAAGCTTCTTTTATTAATCAAATATCCAGTTTTATAAAGAATTTTATTATAGCAACATTGAACAGGCTGACAGTCATATAATTGGTACACTTAAGAAAATTAAATATCCAATAGATGTAGCCAATGTCTCCCCCTAACCACTTTAAGATCATATGTCTTCATAGCCACTATGGTTGTATGTTGTTTCCTGACACAGTTACTCCCTATTATAGGTGGTATTTCATAGTAGGTGGCAATATAAAATTTTAAACAATTAAGTAATGACATAAAACAATAAGTTGACAGCAAAGCAAAAACACAGAAAAGCAAAAGCACAGTAAATTTTGCTGTTAGCATATATATCATTACACCATAAATAGAATATCAGTTGAACTTCTTGTGCTATTCGAAAGATGGTATTACATGAACAGCATCAGGTTTTGAATAATAGAAATAATTTTTTATGTTAAGGATTACTATTGCTCAAATTTATTCAAATAAAAAGTTCATTCTGTAATTGTGAAAATGCTAAGGTTTAGAAATATATGTAGTCCATAGGGAATGGGCTACATGGACTACATATATGGAGGAATATTATTTCAGCCCAAATACAGCAAGGAGGGCCTAGGCCCTCCCCCAAACAATATAACAGACTTTGAAGGTCCCTGGTGGACGGCCTCACTATCCCTGGAGAGGAGTTTGGGGATGAGTTGGGGGGGTTGGTGGGGAACATGGGAGGATGGGAAGGCAAGGGAATTGGGGGATGGGTATGTAAATGAGTAGTAATTAAAGAATTTAAATTTAAAAAATTAAAACAAGAAAAAATAAACCTATAATGACTCCCTCAATAAAAAAGAAAAAAAGAAATATATGTAGTCAGTCTTCAAGTTTCTGAAGTAATATAATAAAATGTGGCCTTACCATACACCAAAAAGTAAACAAGGAGACCAATGATTATTGACAAAGCCAACAAAACAGATGTGGTAGTAAGAGCAACCATCCATGGTTTCCAGGAACATTTTCTTCTACCCAGGATACCTGGCCTTTTGAGAGGAAAAAATGCATATAAAAAACAAGGAGGACTCTAATACAAATATTTTTGACATTCAAATTATTTCTCTTTGGAGTTCATAACTAGCTTATATCATATTTAGTAACATTTGAATATATTTAATGCAATATTAGAAAAATACTATAAAAACCAAACTCACTTTTTAACTTAAACAGTCAATATTATACAGAGGCTACTATTATATATAATTTCTAGTCCATTATTCTGAGACATACTCTGAATTTTCTTCATTTTTATTTGGTATGGGCTCTAATATCACAAATGTGGTTGGTGGGCTTCAGTTCACAATGAACCTCTGAACATGATAGCAGCTTGGTCACTCTTCCCATGTAGTGAATGACAGTAGTTAATAGATTATGAGATTTTCAAAGATGGATATTTAGAGGGACAAAAATGGGACTTTGTCTCCTGGAGTTGTTTTTGTTTGCATGTTTGTTTGTCTTTTTCACACATTTATACTTAAGCCACAGCTACTTTGTATGGGACATGTAATTTGTACTGGATACAAGGAACATGGAACTAGAATGGACTCAACCAAGTAACAAAGAAGGATGAAGAATAATTAGCAAAATAAAAACCACCAATATGATTTTAGACATATAGTAAGGAATTACCAGTCTACACAATCCACACTGCCAGAGAAACTAGTAAACAAGGAGGACCCTAAAAGAGACAAACTTTGTCCCCTGGAGAAGGGGAAAGGGTCTAATGCATAGAGAAACTGTGAAAAAAAATTCTGAAAGTTTCTTGTTCTGTAAGAACTATCCTTGAATAAGAGGAATTATTTTCTCTGGAATTGGTGCCTGGTCATGGAGAGGCATAAAGCAGTACCAGTTAACAAACTGAAGAGATTAGATAAATAGCTGCTGTGGGCAGCAATGATCTAGAGGGAGTAGCCACACCTCTGCAATACAAAAAGGAACTTAGAAGAATATCCATTTCTCGTGTGTTGAATCCTAGGTGAGCCCTTTTGCCTAGGTGAGCAACTATGCCTACCTGGCATTGACATTGACATTGACATTATTGGCAGGCCACTGTGCCTACCATTGATAAAGTATCAGGGATCTAAACTCCAAGCCTCATGTTTGCACAGAGAAAGGATTTTGTTTTGTTTGTTTGCTTTTTCACCTGAGCCATTTTCCCGGCTCTGAAAGGATGTTATAGAAAACTTAGTGATTCTTTTTTTGAAACTATAATGGTTTTAAAATGTTTTCAAAGTTTAAAAGAGATGGACTTACTCTCTTGCCTTCTTCTCTGAGTTAGCAGTAGAAAACACTTTTATAAAGAGCCAGTTGTGTCACAAAAATGTGTGTGTGTGTGTGTGTGTGTGTGTGTGTGTGTTCAAAAGGATATAGTTAGTAGTTAATTGCCTCTAGTCCTACCCCCAAGACATCACTGTGACTCAGTTACTATTTCATGTGTCTCAAGTGAGAAAGGCTTTATTCTCCTAACCATACAAACTCACTCCAAAATATTATTCCTTGATTTTCTATAAATAATATATGTCTCTTTATTTTGATTTTGTATTAACCTTATTTTAATTTAATTATGAGAGCTGTTCTAGACGGGTAGAAGCTTGTCCTTCATAGATACTTGGTAAATGCTTACTTACTAAATGAGAGAATGTGTTATAAAGAAATAAATCATTAGTAACTCAAAATCAGAGTTTTACAGAAAATGAACTCCTTCATCCTTTGAAGAAGGAGACATGAAATTGAGCATTACCTGTATTCTAAGTAAAAATATCAAATTTTATTATAAAAAACATCACTGAGTGACATTCTCTCTTCTCTCTTTCTTGGATTCCCGCTTCCCCTTCTCCTAATCCTTCCACCTCAAAGCATTTTGTTTTGGTTAGTTCATCCCAGTGACATGACTAAACAGGTTCATTATAATTCAGGAACTTCGAGCTTTAAAGACATTCCTGAAGTGCAACCAAAAGGAAAGTCACAAGTGACCTTGTCCTTATTGTACTAATGTCATCATGACCCATCAGTGACAAAAGCTACCCATCTATCATGTCAATGTAGAAATCTTTCATAAAGATATAAAGTATTTTGAACACTCTCCTCATTTTTATCCCTCCATGATTGCATTTGTACCTGAAGTATCTTGTTTCCTAGACAGTCTAATAGGCAAGTGTTCCTCAAACCAAGCATCAGCAGGATGGAAAAAACAAAAACCACCTTCATCATTTTTGTTTTTGTTTTTGTTTTTGTTTTTTTCATTGTCACAGTTGTTCACTAAGAGTCATTTTTAGATCCTTTCCCTCCACATGGATCTCCAAAAAGATGACAGGGATCCATAACAATGGTTCCACCTGGTTCATAATAATGCCACAAAACCAAAAATCACCACCCAAAAATCAGCTTTGGACTACAAACTGCTCATGACAATTCAAAGGTGGCTAGCCTCCGCTGTGACTTCACATAAGCTCTACACGTTCCCATTACACAAAGACTTGGCCATTGTTTCATTTGTGTTTTTTTCTTCTTCTTCTTTTTTTTAGTGCCCTCTAGAGAAGCTGTCTCCCCCTAGACAGCAGGAAGCAATGTAAGAACACAGCATCCACTTTCCCAGGAGGTGAGATGGGTGGTTTTTGGTCTTTCTCAGGGTTATGGATATTTGTCATGTTGTAAGGAGGGTGGTTACAAGTTGTTATAGGGTATGGAGGCTGAATAAAAGAGATAAAATTCGGGGATCTCATTTGGAAAAAAAGGAGGGGAGAGATATGTTAGGATAAAAAGGTAGATTATTAAATCTACTTTCAAAATAAAAAAGCAACTATTTGTTTTAAATAATTTACATTGGTACTGACTCTTGTGCATTGACACAAATTTAAGGTTATTTTTGTTATACTGTATATATGTTTCTATTTCTGTTTAAGATATTTTTTGTATATTGTTACAGATCTAATGCCAATACTTTTCAATTTGTTTCATATAACTGAATGGGGAAGAACACTACCATATACATGCTGAGGCCAGTATTACCTAATACCAAAACCAGACAAACAGACACACTCAACACACTCAAGCACACACTCAAGCACATACACACAGGCACACATACAAACATACACATACACAGGCAGATAGGCAGGGAGTCAGGCAGGCTGACAGAGAGAGATAGAGACAGGGATACAGGGATACATACACACACACACACACACACACACACACACACACACACACAGAGAGTAACTTGACCCATCTATATACCACTCCTCCGCATATCTAATTTCCCTGAAAAAAGCAGATGTTAAAATTCTCTGCAAAATACTTGCAAACTAAATTCAGAAACATTAAAAGATCACAAATCATGGCCAAGTGGATGTCATCACAGAGATACAAAGTTGCCTCAACATACATGAGCCAATAAATGGAATACATGACAAAAACAAAGGGCAGAAGTCATATATTCATTTCAAGAAGTACAAAGGCAGCATTTGACAAAGTTTAATATTCCTTAACAAAAGTCTTAGAGACATTAGAAATAGAACATACCTCAGAATACTCAAGCGTATATGCAGAACATGATATCAAACATTCTACTAAATAGAGATAAACTGAGAACATTTCCTGTAAAATCTGGAACAAGAGAAGGATGCACATTTTCACATCTTTTAATTCATCATGGCATCCCAAGTCTTAACTACAGCACAAGAGAAAAACATAAAATGAGTGGATCTATAAAGTAGAATATTAAGTGAGGTAACTAAAACTCAGGATAACAAAAACCACAGAGTTTTCCTCATATGGGAATTCATACCTACCATGTATGCATATAAAATTATGTAAATGTGAGGAAAGGCTAAAACACTAGCAAGTATACCAAGAGGAGGGTACTAAATGGTGGTGAGCAAGGTTGGGGTTCTCAAAAGATACATGGGGCACACAAAAAAAGCTTCATTGAAACATACTTTGTTCAAAATGCCATAAACATGTCTAACACTTTAGGTAGTAATTGTTAAAAGAATTGGAAAGAATATATGAAAAAGAAGAAGTAAACAGCAGCAAATTCTATGAGATGGGCAGGAGTAAGCTTTTTGGGTTCCTACAGGAAATGGAGCCATGCAGCTGAATTGAAGAAAGGCTAAAGGTTGCCACAGACACAGAAAAGGATGAAGTAGTGGGGGCTCGGGAGGCCCCAGCAAGGAGGTTTTTTGTTTTGTTTTGTTTGTTTTTTGTTTTTCGAGACAGGGTTTTTCTCTGTAGCTTTGGAGCCTATCCTGGCACTCGCTCTGGAGACCAGGCTGGCCTCGAACTCATAGAGATCCACCTGTCTCTGCCTCCCGAGTGCTGGGATTAAAGGCATGTGCCACCAATGCCCGGCTAGGAGTTCTTAATTCTAAGAAACACACGGATAGTTTTAAATGCGTAAGAGACATAATAAAATTTACATTGTTTTCTAAAGAAAGATCTTAGGTTTGATGAGTTCTTGGCTATGAGCTTTCAGTGTATATTAGTATCTCCCTTCACACGAGATTATGTTGCTGCCAGTCATTCAACATCATGTTTTGTGCATGACACAAACTCCACATAAGATGTCTTTTCTACCTGTCTTTCCCCAGGTTATCAGCATTTGCAATCCCTAAGGTCTCCTATACACCACTCAGCAGCTTTCAGTTCCTCTTAAAACTTTCTTAGCAGTCAGCAGCTACTTGGAAGTTTTTTTATACTGGTTTTTGCTACTTATCACATTGGTACTGTTCTAAATCTGTTTTCTATATTTGTACCATCAACTCTACATTTCTCCTTTCATGGTCTATTCCTACATTCATGCCCTTTACCATCTAGTTAATAAAAACTTCAACTTTCCAAACATCCAACTTTTAATTATCCAACTCTTGTTTCTCTGGATATTACAAAAACTCCCTAACTTCATTCCTATTGGATTCTACAATTCACTTATTCTGCTGTTTCATCACTGTCTCTCCTCATCTTCTCCTTACCATCACTCTACTCAGCATAAATCCCATGTCCCTCATTATACTCACTCTGGCATATAGC